CTCTACCACTTGAGCCACAGCGTCACTTCCGGCTTTTTTCTTTTTGCTTATGTGGTACTGAGGAATCGAACTCAGGGCCTCAGGCATGCAAGGCAAGCACTCTACCACTGAGCCACCTTCCCAGCCCCTCCTAGATTATTTTCAAGATGGGATCTTACTTTATGCCCAGGCTAGCCTAGGCTTCAGTCTAACCTGGGCTTCTCTGTGCCGCTGCACGAATCCCTATGCGCCCCCCCCCCTGTCCCACACACACACAGCTGGGTAACAGGCATGTGCCACATGCTTGGCCATTGGTTGGGCTGGAATCCTGTGATCCTCTTCCCTCCCCATCTTCTCTTCCCAAGTAGCTTGGATTACAGGTTTGAGCCACAGCAGCTGACTTACTAGGTTTTGTGGTGGTGGTGGTGGTGGTCAGTTGTGTGGCTTGAACTCAGGGCCTGCGTGCTACAAGGCTAGCGCTTTACCACTTGGAACCATGGCTCCACTTCCAGTTTCCTGGTGGTTCACTAGAGATAAGGTCTCACAGACTTTCTTGCTTGGACTGTCTTCAAACCATGACCCTCAGAGCTCAGCCTCCTGAGTAGCTAGGATTACATGCGTGAGCCACCAGCACCAGGCTCTTTTTATTTTTTTTTTTTTCAGACAGATCTTGATCTATTGCCCAGTCTGGCCTTGAACTCCTGGACTAAGCGCTCTTCCCACCTAACACAGCCTATGTTCATAAGGAATGACCATAGTTGAGGGCCAGGCCGTGTGTGTGTGCGTCCGCCCTCCACCTCCACCGCTGGGTGACCTCGCTGAAGGTGATAACGACGGATACAGCTAACTCCTATCAGCACTTTTCCCAGGCACACATTTAATCAGCCTAACGCAGACCCCGGCTCTGCGGGCGGCGCAAGAGGACACGCAGGACAGGAGGGACACCTGTGTCCCTGGGTTGGTCAGCCAGGGACATCGCTCCCCCTCCCCGGCACCCACCTTGCCTCCAGGAAGCGCCCAGGCCGGCCCCAGGACCCTCCGCGCACCACAGCCCGCTACCTACCCTGCCATGACAATGAAGAAGTCGAGGCGGTTCCACGTGTCTCCGAGGTAGCACTTCTTGCCGAAAATGCCCAGTGCCACCATCTTGAGCACCATCTCCATGGCAAAGAAGATGAAAATGAAGTCATCAAAGACCTGTCGCGCAAGAGGAAGCAAGCCAAAGTCACCATGTGAGTGGGGACAGGAGTGTGGGCAAGAGGGCTTGGGAAAGATTCTAGAAAGATCCTGGGGCAGGAAGAGAACTTCAGAAGCCCTGGTTCAATGCAGTCATTCCACAACTGAGGAGAGGTTGGCCTAGAGAGGGAAATGAACTTGTCCCAGGTCACACAGCCCTGTCTCAGCCCAAGGCACCAGGGGAGGAAGGAGGCAGGAGATCTCACAAAATTTAATAATCGCCACACAATTAGATGTACATGTTAGGTCTGCACTCTCTTCTGTGGTTCTCACCGCAATGACCCCCAGGGTGACCCCAGAAGTTAAGCAGCCTACTCCAGATCACACAGTAGGCTGAGTGGCCAAACAAGGATAGAGAAACTAAGGACTAGCTCCAGAGGCTCTATAGAAGGAACCAGCTTAGGATGGGCCCACTGGATGGGGGTCTGGGTGCTGGTCTTGGCTCCTCTGTTCAGTGGACACGCCCTGGGGGTGGGGCGGAGCTGTGGGGGGCGGAGCCACAGGAGCAGAGCCTGATGGCCTGCCTGGTGGGGTGGGGCGAGGCTGTGGGGGGCGGAGCTGCAGGGCAGGGCCTGAAGGTTGGCCTGCCTGGCAGGGCAGAGCTGTGGGGGGGCGGAGCCACAGGAGCAGAGCCTGATGGCCTGGCGGGTGGGGCGGGGCTGCAGGGGGCAGGGGCGAGGCCTTGAATGGTGGGGCCACACTGGGGGCGGGCCCTCAGGTGGGCGGGGCCAGGCTCACCTGCAGGATCTTGCAGCGCTCAGACAGGCAGTCCATGTCGTCGCAGGGCTGGTACATGCCCAGGGTCACGCAGTTCAGCAGGATCACCAGCATGCTGATGCACTCAAACCACGTGCGTGTGAGTCAAGGGCAAAGCCTGGCAGGGTGGCTGTGGGGTGCGCCTTCCCTTGGAATGTGACAATGTGACACCACCACCTCCCCCAGGACACAGGCATGCATGGCCCCAGGGCCACAGCCCCTGCCTGAGGACCTGTCTTCCCTCTCCCCCCCCCCCCCCAGCTCACCACAGGCCTGGCCTCTCCATCTCTGAAACCTCTCTCTGACTGCTCCTGGCCTCCTTCTGACCACCTTCCCTCCCGGGCCACAGCCCTCCCTCCAGTCCAGGCCTGGTCTACAGCTTGCCCTGGGCCTTGCAAGAAGACTGGCCAGACTTGTCCTTGTCCTTACAGGGGCCTGAACTCAGAGCCAGAGCTCTCTCTCTCCCTTAGCTTTTTCCTTCAAGGCCCGTGTTCTGCCACTAGAGCGACAGTCCACTTCTTCCTCGTAGTGGTTAATTGGAGATAAGAGTCTCATGGAGGGAGTCAGGAGAGAAAAAAAACTGGGAGAAAATGAGGGAAGAGGTAACAGAAAGAAATGTACTCATTACCTGACTTATGTAACTGTAACCCTTCTGCATATCACCTTTACATTTAAAAAAGTGTCATGGACTTTTTCACCCTGAATGGCTTCAAACCATGATGGCTCAGATCTCAGCCTCCTGAGCAGCTGGATTACAGATGTGAGCCACCTGTGCCTGGCTAGGCACTATCTCTACCCAGCAGGAGCAGGTCTAGGAGGAGGGGGGCTCCTCTGCACCCCGCCAGCAGCAGCACCTTACACTCCTTTCTCACAGTTCTTCTTAGTCCCTGACCAAGTGGGTCCTATCCCACCATTCTCTCAGTCCACCAATTACAGAACCTAGAAGCTCAGCAGAGTGCAGTGGTACACCTCTGTAATCTAAGCCATGGGAGAGAGGAGAAAAAGGAAGATCTGGAGTTTGAAGCGAACTTGGGCAAAGTTAACACTGCTTGCATTAAAAACAAAAACTTCAAGCTGAGCACCAGTGGTTCACCCTATAATCCTAGCTACTCAGGAGGCTGAATATCAACATTCAAAGCTAGTTCAGGCAAGAGAGTCTGTGAGACTTTTATCTCCAATTAACCATCAAAAAAAGCCAGAAGTAGAGCTGTGGCTCAAGTAGCAGAGCACTAGCTTTCAGAGAGGGGGAAAAAAAAAGCAAAATCCATAGTGATAGCTTCTGAGATGTCCTCCCCTGACCCTGTCAACCCCAGGGGCTCCTCCCTTACCCCTCCCTGCTCCCTCCTTCTTCCCTTTCCCCCTCATTCCCCCTTCCTACATTCACATCTCTCCAGGCCCTTCCAGACCTCAATCCTTGTGTTCTATTCACACTCAATCTTTCTCTACTGCTAGAACCAGCATTCCAGAGCACAAGAGTTTTGCACGCCTGGCTCTAACAGAAGCTCAATAAAAGTTTGCTGGGTGAAGCTGGGCACTGGCGAGTCATGCTTGTAATCCTCGCAACTCTGGACACTGAGATCTGAGGATCTTGGTTTGAAGCCAGCTCCGGCAGGTAAGTCCACAACAATCTTATCTCCAGGTAGCCACAAAAAGCTAGACATGAGCTGTGGCTCAAGTGGTACAGGGTAGCTTTGAGTAGAAAAAGCTAAGAGACATTGCCCAGGCCATGATTTCAAGCACCAGGACGGGGGGGGGGGGGGGGGGGGGGGGGGGGGGGGGCGGGGGGGGGAGGGAGGGAAGAAGAAAAAAAGTTGGTTGAATGAACAACTAAATAAGGGCCTGGACACCCCACCCCCCAGGAATTCTTCAGTGTATCTGGCGGAGACCCCCACATGCTGGACCTCCAAGCCCTACTCTAGGCCTCAGGAGCCCCCAGGAGGGTGACCCGGTTTCCCTGGCAACGGCCCCTCCCACTCCAGCCCTCTGGCTCACCTTCTCTGCCCCCTCTCATCCCTGCCCTGCTCCTTCCTGCTCCCCCCCAACCTGGCTGCCACTCTCCTGCCACAGCCTGTAATTAATTTCAGTCGCTGCCAGGGCCCCCTTCTAGCTCGAACATCTCTCAGGCAGCAGCTTCATCATTAATTAACTTTTTTGAAGTTCAAACATTCTAATTACCAGTGAAGGTCCGTCCCCCTGCTCCCCTCCTGCCCCCCCTCCCTCCCTCGGCTGCACCTTCTGAGGCCTCTGCCCTCCCATCATGTCCAAGCCCAGCAGCCTCCCTTGGAGGCTAGGCTTCTCCCCTCTTCCTTACCACCCATCTGCAATGGGTGCATTTACAGATGAGGTAAACTGAGGCCCCTCCTGGCATGTACTAGAAGAAGTACCAGGTCCCCAGGGCTCAGAGGCTAGCGTTCTGCCCTCGGCCTCCTTCCTCCCTCCCAGCAGCCCTGTGCCAGCCTCCTCTCACTCCTCTGAAGGCTCTGACCCTCTGTTGTGCCCTCACAGATGCCCAGGCAGACGCATGCACCAATATCCCGAGCTTTGTGCAAGTGTCACTCACTGAATCCTCTGGGCTCTGTGATAAGCCCCACTTAGAAACTAGAAAACTAAGACACAAAGGGAGGCGGATCCACCCAAGGTCATCAGCTGAAAAGAGACAGAGCTGAGACACCAAACCACAGCCTGCTTTTCTGTTGCCCCACAAGCTCATTTATCCCTGCCAGATTCACCCGCCTGAAATACAACTCTAATTATGCCCCTGTCCTGCTCGAAAGTCTTCCACAGCACTCCACCTTCACCCTGCCAAACAATGGAGGCCTCCCAGACTCTGACCCCAACAAACTCTGCTGACCTTGGCACATAATTAACTCCTTCCCTTTTGGCAAACTCCTACACACCCTTCAAAGCCCTGCATATTTCCCAAGATGCACCTCAGCCGGCTCCAGTCATGAACTTGGCCAACACCATGATAGTTGCATGCCAGGTACCTAGGGGATGTTGGCTGTCACCACAATCCACGGGGAACAGCCGGAACAGGCCTGGAAGGCTGGCAGGACTTGCCCAAGGTCACTGCAGCCCCACAGTCCTCCTCTGTGTCAGACTTCAAGGCACTGCCCACCCGGAGGCGTCCCTGGCGGGCTGAGGGAGCGGCTCTCATCCCTAGACTGCCTGGCTTCAGAACTTTGCGATGGACAGCTCATCCCCCGCTTCCGGCGCTTGGGGAAATCCCAGATGGCCCTGTCCTGGGCCCTCATCCAAGAGCCTCGAGGCTCAGAACTCAGGCCAGAGCTGGCATGGCGGCCTGCGGCTCTGACATGCTCCCTGCTGTCACAGAGATCAAGGGCTCCAGCCCTCCTAGAAGAGCAGCCGGACCACGTGGCGCTGGGTAGCCGCGTGCAGAGGGCCCTGGGGGTCCTGTTACATGCACAGTAAGATAGCGCGCTGCCCCAGACCCTCCCTCCTGTCGGGGTGATCAGGAAACAGGGCCAGAGACCCAGCCACCCAGGCAGCCCACATCCCCACCCACAGAGCCTCCTGAGCCCCCACTCCATTTTACAAGCCCACCGGGTCCCTCCAGGTCCCAGCCCTGACTGTGACACCACTGAGACCAGCCACACGGCGGCCATCGAAGCCAATCAGATCCCTGACGGGCAGCCAGGAGTGTTTCTGATGAGGGCAGATGGCAAGCAGATCAATGGCGATACGATCAATATGGTTTCCTTGGCAGGCGAAGCCGGCTCAGCCCAGGGCCGCAGAGGGGAACAGCCAACAAACCCGCTGGGTTCCTCAGCAGCGCTGCCAGCCGGGGTGACCCCAGGGAGCCTCCCCCTACTTCCCAAAGTCCTCTACACCCAGGCCTCAGAGCCCAGCAGGAAGCTGGTGAGCATATATGAGCGTCTGCTGTGTGCCAGACACCAGGTCCACCTGGCAGTGATCGCAGACCTGTCCTAAGTGAAACGGCGAAGAGCATGTGTTTACCTAGGAGCTTTCTGATCAAGTAAATATATTCTCTCATTTAAATCAAGCTTGTGTGTCCAGGAGTGAGGGCACAGCACACAGAGCCTGTGGAGCTGAGCACACCTGGGCTCTGCCACCAGGTTCAGCAGGCCACACCTCTCCTGCAAGAGTGCCAGGGCCGCCCCTCTTCATGGCTTAAGGAAAAAAAGCCATAAAGAAGAAAGCCACGGGACTGGCAAGGTGGCTCAGTGGTAGAGCGCTTGCCTTGCATGCATGAGGCCCTGGGTTCGATTCCTCAGCACCACATAAGCCAAAAGAAAAAAGCCGGAAGTGGTGCTGTGGCTCAAGTGGTAGAGTGCTAGCCTTGAGCTGAAGAGCTGAGGGACAGCGCCCAGGCCCAGAGTTCAGGCCCCATGACCGGACCCCCCTCCCCAAAAAAAAAAAAAGAAGAAGAAGAAGAAAGCCACAGGCCAGGCACCGGTGCTCACGCCTATAATCCTAGCTACTCAGGAGGCTGAGATCTGAGGATCACAGTTTAAAGCCAGTTTGGGCAGAAAACTCCATGAACTCTTATCTTCAATTAACCACAGAAAAGCTGGAAATGAAGATGTGGCTCATGTGGTAGAGCACTAGCCTTGAATGCAAAAGCTCCAGGACAGTGACCAGGCCCAGAGTTTAAGCCCCAGGACCAACAAAAAGAAGAAGGAAGAAGAAGAGCCACAGCCTGGCACCAATGGCTCACATCTGTAATCCTGGATACCCAAAAGGCTGAGATCTGAGGATTGCTGTTCAAAGCCAGCCTAGGCAGGAAAATCCATGAGACTCACCTCCAAGGAACCACCAAAAAGAGGGAAGTGGAGCTGTGGCTCAAATAGTAGAGCCCTAGCCTTGAACAAAAATGCAAAGGGACAGTGCCTGGGACCCTGAGTTCAAGCCCTAGTACTGGCATGGAGGAAAAGGAGGAGGAGGAGGAGGAGAACAGAGGATCTGCTGGTGAGTTGATGTGACCTTGGGTTGAAGGTTAAAGGTCATTATAAGCCATTACTGCCCAGCCACTTGTGAATCTCCACTTAAGGCTTTCAAAAGAGTCAGCCGGCCACCTCAGGCCTGGCTCCCCAGCCAAGTTCCCTCCGCGGG